TCACTATAGTAGTATTTTTTAATGGGACGGCGGCCACCGTGATCTACACTGTCATGAGAGAACTATTGTCTGAAGGCTCTGTTTTAGGTCTTCTTGGAGGAAACCTGTATGTATTGATTAACATTGTTGTCAAAAACAGATCGTGTGTGACACATTGTCATCCCACTGTGCCTCCGACTATCATTGCTCAAAGTCCTTTTCAGTTTTTTCCCCACAGTGTGTTATTTGCACACACTGTGGGGAAAAAAGTTTTGTTTCATTGTAGTGGTTCAAGATTGAAATCCCAGCTCAGGAAAGAGGCAACAAACACACGTTTGGTGTTGAATCAGACCAGACTGACCAATGACAAGATGACTCTCTGGTCACACACTGTAGATCATGAAGGACTACTATGAAGACCACTATATCATTCTATAGTGTAGTGGTTAGCATGCCCGCCTTACACGCACCGAGCCCTGAGTTTAATTTCCCGGAAGAACCACTTATTTTGCGCCTCCAAGGGGCAGCCTGTTGAATCGCATCTGCTGTTAACACAAGGTCTCCCCAGTGTGTGATCAAGAAAGTTCAAATTATTATTAGTATTATTTTTATTTTATTATTATTATAAGTGTTGTTGAGGACTAGGACTTCATTCGGGTTTTTATAGCAGCTCTCGTCACGTTCTACAAGCCACCGTCAAGATGCACTTTCACACATTTCCATGACATTTTTCCATATAATTCCATCAACTACTTTCTAACATTTGAATTTGAAGGCAGTCGTTTCACCTGCACAGTACTTTTAATGAACCGACTGCAACACTCATGGGAGACAGTAGAAGTGCAATGTGAGAAACATTACTGAGAGTGGGTTTGCTGAACTGTGTCTAAGTTTATAAAAGTTTAACTACTGTGTGGCACTTGTTCTCTCCTCACTCTTCCCATCAAAGCTCCATTCTAGGAAATGCAAAGGTGGTGCAGTAATTCCCAGGCGAACAAGTAGCTATTTCACTGATAACATATTCACTTTGGTCTCAGGCCAAACCTAACAAAGACGAGGAAGAAGAATCAGCGGCAGAACAAAGAAAAGCCACTTGAGAAAAGAAGAGATCTCCCATTTCACACTGTTCCTGATTTGGCAAGTACACAGTCGGCCTGAAAAGCCAGGGCAGAATTAGCACTACAATTAACTGTCACCGGGGAATAAATGGGGTAAGTGGATTTCTGGGTGGTGGCAGTGTGCACTTCTTCACCTCCCAAAACCTTAACTAGGATTAATTGAGCACTGAAGTGTCAGAAGAGTCATCTTGGTGGAAAATTAACATCGAACACTTTGACAGGAAGTAAAGAAAAATTTAATTTCGGTGGGTTATGCCGTGTCAGGTGCCCAGCTGAGTAAAAAATGTGGACAGAAGAAAATCTGTCATGGACCAGGAGCAATAATAGATGAGGGAGTTATAGATTAAGACCTCGGTGCTGTGAGGAAACAGAATGATGGGTTGCACCTACAGTGTTATATATTCGCCCACGGTTGCTGACATAATTAGTCACTGGGGCGTCGGTCCTGCAGCGGAGCAGGTGATGACATCCTCCTGGAATCAAAATGCAATTTCTCCCTAACATTTATCTTCATATTCTCCCCATGACGGAGGGACGGGAGCGCCTCACAGCTGAAGGAGTCCGTAAGTGGATTACGGACGGCCAGCGCGGCAAAGTGAAAGGTGCTCAGACCAATCATATCTGCTCTCAGGAGGTCAAAAACAAATTACACGACAGAGGTCCAAAAAAAGGCGCTGGGCTTTATCAATAAGTTACAGCTTGGCTGCGGTGCTCACGGAGCCAGATGTCGGTGGCGGCAACAGTGAACACCTTTATCTGTGTCAAGAAGACATTTTCAGGCTGTTCTCCCCTCCACCCCCCCCCCCCCCACCCCCCCGGTAACCAGAGGTGACAGCTGTAAGAGGCTCTGCCGCGCTCAACACTGCACTTGATACTAGAGCATATTTGCATGTTAATCACTGACACTACACTCAGTAGCCAGGAAACAGAGACACACTGTGCACCGTGTTAGTCACTCAAACGTTAACCCGATCAATCTATCAGTCAATCAGGCTTCTTAATTGAACCAACTGGGAAATAACTCATGCAGTCAGCTTAGTGGAGCCGGCAATCTATATGAAATAAACCACTACTGTAGACATCATTCATTTACATAAATCTGTCACCAAATGTCAAGACTAACCAGTGGAACGTAAACAATGTCTTGGGAATCCATTGTTGACTGGATCATTGTGACGCATCTCCGTCTATTTGTCAGACGTCTCAGACGTCACTCCTCATTGGCTCATTTAAACCTTAAAGCAATGTACTAAAAATCTATGTTTTAAGGAATGACATCCTTTTGTTTGGAAGTGGTGTTTAAAATTTAAGATTATTCAATGATCTGTCATAAAATATTATTGTTTGACACCTGTTTTTATTTCTGATTAATCCAAGCAATGGAATTATTAATATGGAAAAATGTCATTAAAATTCTACAAAAGTCAAAACTCAAACGACACCAAAAATATGAAACAACTATAAATAAAAAATAAATTTAGAGTTGTTTTTTTTTCAGTCAGTATTGTGCCTCACATATCCTCACGTAGGATTATAGAACGCGTCAGTTTCTAAGTTTCTTTCCAAAGTTCCAAAGTTCGGGTGAAGCCGCGGTTGTCATCAATATTAATCAGCTCATCGATCGAAGACTTGTTTACTGTCCTGCGCTCGCCGTGTCTTGTCCGACACGTTTGACTGGAAGTTGAAGCCTTTGCCGAATGAGATGGTATTTTAAGTGGTTACATACTAGAGCAATAACAAGTGAAGGGATGGTGAAATTATGGGATGTACAGCACTCAACAGTCTGCCCATGTAATAAAATGTAATAACAGTTTTAATCTGATCAAGCTTCACAAATTAATGAACATGATTATTATTTTTTTCGACAGCCTCAGTGTTAATAGAGTTTTACTTCAACTGGAGCATGAGGTAACGCTGTCTTTCCTTGAACGTCCATCTGTTAAAATGACATCACACCGTAGGCCACTTACAGTCCCAGAAAGTCTCCCCTAAGTCTCTACCTAAGTTTTCTCTCTGATCTAATTTAATCCCAGTGGTCAACAGACGCAGAGGCAAAATGGTTGTCGATGCATGTAGCTGTCATCTTAATCGGCCAATCAGTCACAGCTAACAAAGTGCTGACCGACTCCGTGGATATTCACAGGGTCAATCAATTGGGAATGATTGACACTCTCAGCATTTGCCCTGCGAGGGAGCTGCTGGAGTGGGGGAGGGTGTCAGCAGGGAGCCTGCTGTCACGGTGAGGGGACAGATTGATGGAGCTGTGCTGACAGAGTGACGTCTTTGATCTCTTACCTCCCTCCACTGTTTGCACTCCACGCCCTGGGTGTATAACACCACCACTGAGAAGAGGAGGAGGAGAGGAGACGAGAGGAGAGGAGAGGAGAGGAGAGGAGAGGGGAGGAGAGGGAAGAAAAAAGTTGGTACACTTATTCATAAATGCAAAAGAACTCATTTTAATTTTTTTCTTCTTATTTTCTGACTTTGTGTGACTGTGTTGTGAAGGACATTCTCTCTGTTGCAGCGATGATTTCCTAGAGTCAGCTGTGGCCCAGGGGACGGTGGATGTTCCACTGCTCTAGCAGTTTATAATGCAGTGAAGCTCAGTGACGATGTCTCTGTAGGTTCTCAGTCATTCAGGTCAACATGACCAACAGTGGCCAGTTACCAACTGGTAACTGCTTCAAAAACCAGTAACCGGCTCTAAACATTTTCTCTCCACGTCAGTTTTGTTTTGTTTGTTTGTTTTTGTCTCTGGTCTGTGTATTTATTCTTTTGTTTTTGTTTCTCATGTCCAAAAATACATAGTTTTTATTAATGTACATCATAAATACCTGTGATCTTTGTTTGGACAACCAGGGACTGGATGGCTGCTCTTGTTAATCCAAATCCTCACACCAAGGTTACAGTTTCACCAGATAATTAGGGATCCTGAGAAATGTTACCTGCGTGATCCTTTTTCCTACTCTTTAATAGTCTGCTGATGAATAGTCGCAATGATTTATAAAGGATAAATCACAAAAAAGGTTTTTTTTTCTATTAAATTTAGGACTGAGTAAAGGACTGAACCCATGACGTCTTTGGTCTCGTCGTGGCGGTTGGGGTAGACCGTCACAGCAGGCGACGCCTGACGTCGTCATCCAACCGTTCCCACTTGAGCAGCTCATTTATATAAACAGTTTGTTTTGTTCCTCCTCTGCCGACATTTGTCATTAATCATCCTTCCTCGTCCTGACAGAATAATGAAGTGCCGAGCTTGATGATAACGCCGTTCTGCATTCAATTCAAGGCAGTGAACCTTGTTTGAAAGCTTGTATAAAAACATCATTTTCTTAATGGTAGAATTGTCCTGATTTCTATTAATATGATGTGGTGAAAAAAAAAATCAGTTCAAGCTTTAAAAAATGATCTATTTATACAAAGGCCCAAAGCCGGGCCTTTTATATTAAAAGTGCATTTCACTCTCTAGCCTGAAGGGAGTGTCTGAGAAAATGTCTTTCCTATTGGTCCCCGTGAGTTTTACTCAAAGACGGCCATTTGTATTCAAGGGCTAGCGTTTATATCCTGCAAGCATTCGAGCACTTTGTGCCGCTCTCTTTGGGGAAAAGGACAATGATATCCAGCACGGGGACAGAAAGGATGCTGCTTAAAATAAAGCCAAGATCAGCGAAACCATGGAGGGAAAGATTTAGAAAATGGGTGGGTGATGTTGAAAAGAAAAACTCACGTGGGTCAGATTTGGTGAAAGTGTCTCTGTCCAAGAGGTTCCTGTGGGAGAAAAACACAGACGCATTAAAATCACGGCCGGGTTTAAAGATATATGTATGAAAATGGGCTTCATCACAGGCAGTTTCATCACAAAAGAGAACTGTGTATGCTAAGAGTGCATGGAAAATTCATAACCACCACACTTAACATCAAAGAGGATTTCCAACTGAGAAGAACAATAAGTACATTTGAAACCACAGACAGAACAGAACAGAACAGACAGAAACAACAGCACCGGCCACAACAACCTGGAAAATCACCCAAAAGAAAACCCACTATTGTGACTGAATATAATTTGTATAACAAAGTGTCATCCGTCTGAAGGTAGGTCAGAAAGTTCTAAGACAGATGTTTTTAGTTTAAGTGGTGTTTTTTCCCATAAATCCCTGCAATAAGACCGGTCTGTCAGGCGTTTATCGACACACCTACGTCAGACACTGAGCTCTGTTACGGTTTGTTTGAGCCGCTGTTTCAGGATAAGAACCCGTTCTCTCTTCAAACACTGGTAAAAATATCTAATGCCATTTCTTCCATGAGAAATTCTTTCACAACCTCTTAACTTTTTCAAAAAAAAAAAAAAAATCAGTGGGCTGTGAAAGACAGATTTCTACAAAGGAAGGATTTGAGGAGTGAAGCACAGCTTACAGAAGTGTGTTGTATGTTGAAGAAAAAGCTTTTATTGTCATAAATAAAGATACCTATTGACTTACTGTCATCCGTATACAGAGTGATTCTATATAATAAGGAAAGTTGAAGGCTCACAGGAAACAAATCAGACTCAAACTCTTGAGAAGAAAGTAAATCTTATTTCCACACTGTCTGTTCTGATCTCTTTTAGAGCAGTAAACATGAGAAATCTCATCAGCGATGGCAAACTGCCCATAAGCTGTGAGATCCTCCTGCGTCTTCTTTGTCTTCTGTGACAGGAGTGCATATATTTGCATCTGTTTGCATTCATCAGGAAACGACACAGGAGGAAAAGATGATGAAGAGGAGCAGCGTTCCACTGAAGGACTGCTCGGTCGTGGACTTCCCTCGGCTCAAACCCGGACAAACAGCAGCAGATTGACGCCAACGAGCGGCTTCATCTGATTGGTTAATAGGGGTGAAAGCATGTTGTGATTCCTCGGAGCTCCATCTGACAAGTCAGCTGTTTGCATGGTGAGTGTGTGACACCAGGATTGTGGTGGGCTGTGATGAAGGTGACGTAGTGGTAGTTGTACAAAGTACTCCATAATATATTGAACCATGTTTGTTGTTAAACGCAGGAAGTAATGGAGGATTACCAAAAACTACACTAAAATAAATATTTCTGACATGAAAACCCTGAGTGAAGCTGAATGAGACACAGCACCAGTCAATACTGTCCTCTCCTCCTCCTCCTCCTCTTCCTCTTCTTCCTCTGCTGCTGTGATTTCACTGCCTGCAGCAAATGATGCTGAAGATCCAGTGTGGGGGGGGTGCTGTCTCAGTGTGTGTTTACAGGAATCTGACATATGTGAAATATATGTGAAGAATTCGAAAGTCATTTTTTTCTATTCTATCTTTGATTGTTGTTAACCTACAGGGGGCAGTAAGGCTGAGGGTGACCACACGGAGAACACAGCAACAGAAAATAAATATGTCAGACCTGATTAACAGATAAACAAATCACACCCAGACCACGAGCACACGTTGTCTTAAATAGTACCTATATGCATACATATATTTACTGTATACATGTATTTTTACATATGTGTATATACAGTATGTATGTATATGTTTATGTATGTGTACACTATATATGTAAACATGTACTGTACATACGTCCATAAACATATATCTGATGTTTGTCATATCACATTTCAACCACTTGTTTTGTTGCTGACGGACAGACGAGACAAACGAGACAGACGAGACAGACGAGACAGACAATCATCTTCTGCCCCACAGCATGTTCCACGAGGCAGGATCAAATGTCAACAATGGACGGAAGAAGTGCGGCTGACACCGTTGATGGAGCTACAGTCAGGGAAAAGGATGAGATCGTGTAGCATCCATTTTGACTTCAGTCAATGCGGCATCCTGCGTTTGATGCCCAGACATTATCTCCACATCTGGGTCCCTTCACTTTTATAATATATGAACATCCAGGTAAAAAAAAAAAATCATCAAATCTCATCAAAATGAGATCTGAATTGAGCCAAGAGTTTTAATGACTCTGTTAATCAATTCCTTTATGTTCTATCCACTTAATCCCTTCCCATCCTTGCAGTAGTCACCAGATTACTGGACTGTAAGGCTAACATGCTAACATGCTAACCAGAAATGACAGAACTGTGGTCCAAGCAAATGTTGACTGTACATTTGTCTTTACTGTGCAGGAACTTCCCAAATCAGGCTGAACGTTTTACACTAATTCATTTTTTGTCACTCATACGATGAGAAGCCAGAAACTGAGCATCTTTTCCCAGTGAAGCGTGCAGTTGAATCTAAATACTTTCCAGTGGAAATCTGTTTGCAGATACATACATACAGTATATGTTGTTTTTTTACATCACTGCAATGACTCAACAGCCAGCTCTACTGAGAAGATTAAAAATATATATCTAACGTAAACTCATCACTAACAGATGTTTTACAGCCTACTCTACTGCAGAGTGAACGTACGGAGTGGAGCTGCTGCTGCTGCTTTGGTGTCCGTGGCCTCAGGCTACATAGAAACAAGCTATAACACATGCTACATACTGTATGAGGATTTACTGCTCACGGCTACACAGTTCTGTCAATACACCGTCCATCAGTATGCATACACGGTTAAATTGCATTCAGGGCTCATTTACTATTCATTGAAATACCATACAGCTGGGGAGGGCGGAGGGGGAGGGGCTAAGACGCACTCCACGTGTGACATTGCAGAGTTTTACTGTTGATGAAGATGTAAGAAAATTGGTGAAGTTTGAAAGTTAAAAAAAACATCAGGCTATTTCAGGAAAGTCATTTAGTTTGGAGAGGAGCAATCCACTCCTCACACTGATCGTCGTCTGACACCTCGTTAAGTCAAACCAACACTGATTGGTTATTCAACACGAGAACCACAATCAGCATGATTAGAATCTGTAGGATTTTTTCCCTCTTAATTCAAAAGTGTGTTATTCTGAGGGAAATTCCACGAGTTTCCCGACTACTTTTTTTTGCTGTAATTTTTTCCATCTGTCACTGCACAAAATACACACACACACACACACACACACACTACCTAAAAACCAAGGACACTTGCACCATCACTCTCTTAACTCAGCATGTTAGATGAGAGACATTCTCCAGATGGCGCTCACACCTCCATTAGCATATGAGTATATTACAGGAGCCTCCAGTACAAACATCTCTTGTTTTTTTGGATGATGAATGTGTATGTGAAACAAATCCTGTCCCTGAAGGAGACGGCAGGGTTTCAATGACTATAGATCACAGACCTGAGGAAAGAATGCAAATCTTTCACGTACACATCGTTCTGCAGCCACAGACACAGGGAAACATGTGAGGCTAACAGACGCAGCTACGTGGGTATGAGCCTCAGGCTTAACCTGGCAGTTGGATCAGTGTGGGTGTAATTATCATCGCAGAAAAAAACAACACCTTCACATCCACCTGTAATTGTCTTCCATCTATTAGCCTCAGACAATTAACCTGTCCATCACTGCCTCCCCCTGTAGGCCGAGAAGTGGATCGCACGTCAAAGGGAAGAACCATGACATGCTGTGTCATCCTTTCACTGTTTCACTGTACCTAACATGGCACTGCATGAATGGATCAGCCCCCACTGTGCCCCCACACATTCACAGAGCAGCTCTGTTCCAGGAGGAAAATGATTACTTTACAGCCAGGCAAAGAAATCCACCATCCTGCTGTGCACAAGGCCGGAGAACACACAGCAGAGCTGCAGGGCCGGGGCATTAACATCTGAGATAGCCCATCTGCCTTCAGTGGAGAAACACGGGCGATTTCAGTGGGATAAGAGCAGATCATTACTCCAGCGGAGAGGAAGTTTGTTAATAGAGACAAAGTTCAATGAAAGTAGGATAAAGTTAATTAGAACCTGCCTGTTCTCCTCAAACACAGCACACGTGTGACCTCTGTGACCTCTGTGATTATATCAGGATTTACATGAATAGAACACACAGCTGGAGATGGATTTGCATTTTTTACCAGAATGGAAATCACATTATTCAGGTTTATCCCACTGAAGATTTAGAAAAAGAAAAAATTAATGATCTCATCAGGCCATAGTCATAACCATGAACTGGAATTCTAATCAACAGTCAAGGTAGAATGGAATCAAGTGATGTTCTATTATGATCCATTTCTAATAATTATCTAGAGTTAAAGTTATGTAGTCTGGAACCTTTATACAGTATTTTAGGCAAACAGACAGAGGAATGACTTCGACAGCAATTTAATTTTAATATCAATATATTCTGTGCATGTACCACAGTTGATATTGCAATAATTTGTCAGTTTTACTTTCTTTGTTCACTGACAAAAGCCTTTGTGTAGGAATTAAAGGATTTTAATTAAAGTTCATTGGAGGTTTTATAAGAATAGCTGTGACGGGGGAGGGGGGGGGCAGGGTGGCTCTGCAGAAAAAGTTTAAGAAAAGCAATAATAACAATAGGTCACCAGGTCACTGAAATCTGTTTCCTGTTTTGGTTTGGCTGGACACTAAACATTTTAGGCAGACCTTTGAGTTTGGTTTCAAGACCTCTGATGTGATTTAAAGTTAACAGTCTGTTTGGGGGGGGGCAGTGGATGGTTACCAACCAACAGGCCGGGGTCAGCATCCAGGGCTGTTAGAGAAAGGACCGGTGATGGGCCACAGGAATTGGTCAGTGGCACGAGTTCGGTGTGTATTCTGAACAAACGACTGCAGTAACTCTCCTTCCTTCAGTCCACACCTCACTTTAGGACAATTAAAATGATTCATTTACATAGTGTTTTACACACTCCCAGGTTTATCTTAA